GTTGAAAACATCTATACCAACGGCTGTACTCTCTCTCTGTGCAAGGTGGGAGCACGGCCCCTGAACGAATGACTGTTGCCGCACAATTTCGAAAACTGTGGCCACCATGTGAAAACGCAGTCCACTGCTACCCGCCCGAACAGAGTCCCGCCAGTCTGCGCCAGAAGCCAAAAATGGAAAAAAAAAAAACAAAAAAAAAACGGGAGGGCCTGCTACCGGTACCTGCTCCCAGGCCAGGCCACGGGAAAAAGAGAGGTACCACTAGCCCAGGCCACCCCCCGTTTTGCCAATTATTGAATAGGTAGGCTGTCAAACGCATAGTTTACTGTTTTTCTTGCAGTTTCTAACTGATCTTGGCCCAATCTTGCAGTGGACTGTTATTTCTGCAAATTCTGAACTGTGCAGCGGTCACAGGCGCAGTTGTCTCAAAAACAAAAAAAATCCAAAAACTCTGAAAATAAACTATGTTATGCAGAAAAATAAACTGAACAACTTTTGCCTCACTTTACTAAATGTAATTTTATTTTTTATTTTTTATTTTTTTTGCCCGGCCGGGCAAGTGGTCCGGGGCCACTCTGGGGCGAGGTCCCATTAGCAGTCGGATAGGAGTGTGGCCGATCCAGTGTGACACTGAGTGGCAGCGGCCAGACAAGTTCATTACAAATTTCTGGGCTGAGAAAACAGGAAAAAGGGCAAAAACAAAAGAAGAAACAGAGACCTCCCACCGGAAATCACAGCAGGGTGCTTCCCAGCCATCAGATCACAAATGATCTGATGGTGACGGTTGCAACAACAGTGAAGAAAGTAACCGCCAGGTCCGCCACATTTTCTGGAATAAATTCTACTTCTGTCAGCAGTGATCCTGACACCCTCCATATACTCCGTGATTGAAGGAGGGCTCCACCCAATGAGATAATTGCACAACCACAAGTAAAATGCTGAAAACCTTCTATCCAGTGGGCTAAGGCCGACCCCAACCTCGTTTGGGGTTGGCCACACCCCCAACCGATTGAAAAGATTCTGGCGGGAAGCTGTCTTTGCACGAGCATGCCCAGTGTTAAGGAGAGGAGGAGGGGAACGAAGATCTCCTTACTTTTTCGGGTAATACATGTAAAATACTGACGGTGGGATCACGAGTAGTGCACGGCAGGATTTGGGTCACTCAACTGCCCCACAAACTCGTTTCTATCCTATCCTGTTGCTGGTGGGACCTCGCCCCTGGGATGAAGTCCCACCGCCGAAGTTGAGTTTTCTCAACGCTGAGCTTTCTATCACGGGTGGCATGGTGGGACGTAGCTCTGCCGTTGATGTATTGAAAATCTAAGCGTACCGAAATACAGGAGAATAACTTATTAGATTTGGTGGTTTTGTACATTTTTTCGTTGACGTGAAATCCGTTTTGTCGTATGCTTTGGCCCTTTCGGTCTGGGCCGGAAACCATTTTCCTCTCTTCCTTCTTTGGGCAATGAACGCATCTGGCCATCCATGTTGTCCCTGTCCATTTTACGAATGGTGACCTCCTGTCCCCTCACCATGGGAAGTATCCCTTTTCCACGGAGACATTCACTCCGACTGTGCCAGACATGTTTCATTTCTCCGAGTTACTTAATAAAAAATAAGGAGAAAAGCTGTTTCTAGCGATTTTTTTCAGTTTTTTAATTTCTTGTTTCGAATTTATTAATGCCAAAATGGTGTCACAGGTTAGGTTTTCTAAACTTAAACTTGGGCGGTGGGACTTCCCCCCTGGTAGCCTAGCTTTTTTCCCTTTTATCTTTGCATCTGTCAATCAAAAAAAAAAAAAAAAAAAAAAAAAAAAAAAAAAAAAAAAAACATGTGCAACATGTTTATCCCACCAGCAATCACAAAAACATGAACAAAAAAAAAAATTGCCCTTATTTTTATTACTTTTTCTTAAATGAAAATACTTATTTTTTCGTTTCTATTTTTTTAAAATATAAAAGAACGTTGAAATCCAAAAATAAAAACAAATTGGGTTGTACAACCCCTCTTTTTTTCAAGAAAAAAAATATAAAACAAACTCGGCCGGAGCAGACAGGCCGCGGCGGAGCCCGGCGGTCAAGTTCTTGACCACCGGGCGGATTTGGCCCCCGGTCATGACCGCGGGGTCCGGGGGATACATAGCTCCCAACCTCCTGCACTCGCCCCGGTCACTGGAAATCATTTTCCGCTCCCAGGGTCCTTTAGCTGTACATGCACTTGAGTTTTGAGAATTTGAGAAAGGTGAGGAAAGACAAAGTCACTCAACACGTGCAGTGAGGAAAGACAAGTCAATCAACACGTGAGTAATCCCAAAGCAACATGTAATCATGTACAAACATGTAATCATGTGCACTTGAGTACCTGGTATTGTTGACACTAAAAAAAAACAAAAAAGAATCATCCAGTAATAACCTTCTCACACTCAAATCATTATCTTTTTTTTTTTTAAATCACACCAAGTTCCCCAACAACATCTTAAAAAAATTGTCCTCCGACTTCTTTCAAGTTTCAACCCTACCCCAACCTGCGGGTAACAGATTAATTGGCACACACCCCAGTCAGTCAAACCATTTTCTGCTCCCAGAGTCCTTTAGCTGTACTGTCTGTACTGTACATGAATTTCAGTACCTATTATTAATTTATTACTACAATTCCAAAGAACAAAAAAAGAAGCATCCACCTCACTTTTATCCAGCAGGCATGACTCTCCTTAAAGCACTCTGTCACATTGGGATATTCTGGGCAGAACCTGATCGTACTGGGGGCCAGATGCATTCGCCAAAGTTCAAGTGCCCACTTTACTCTTCCCTCCATAATGTTACCAGTGGTGTCTCTTGGGGTCGCTTCATCATTTTCTCCAATGCATCAAATTTGGTGTCTCTTGTGGGTTTTTTCAAACCCATGCTTTTGTTTTTACTCTCTGCGAAATTCAATCCATTGGCCATTCTGAGTTCATCTCCTTCAGCCACAGCATGACCCAAGCTTGGCCGGCGGGGAGTTCTTGGCCTCCTTCGCGAGGAAAAGGGCCCAGCCATTACTGCCCCCAGCAATGGCATTCTCACCAGAAAAGATACCCTTGTGTGACCCCTTCTCTGTGATGGAGAAGTGCGAGCCATATCTTGAAGAGAGAAGCATCGATGCAGTCAGTCCGTCGATTGGAGTTGGCTTCCCCTTTGCAAAGATGTTCCTCAAGTCCAGACTGAAGGATTCTTCATAGCCAGGAATGGCCCCATCGTAGGTTGCAGTCTGCAGCAAAGCAATATATATATATATATAACTCCGACGAAACAGTTTGTCACAGCCCCTTGTTTGTTGTCCTCTTCTCCCTCTCTGCCTACGGTTTACCGGGCAGTTCTATTTGACGATATATATATATATATAT